GTACTTCATATAAAATCTCAATTAAATATTCAATAAAGATAGAGGCATGGCCTCACCATTAATATTAAAAAAAAAAATATATATTTGTCATTTGTACTTGAAATACTTAGTGTTACAGTTACACGGCCAAGCCATCAAGCCCATGACCCAAGCCCGACTCAAGCCCGAGACTCAAGTCTGACTCAAGCCCATGACCCAAACCCGACTCAAGCCCATGACCCAAGTCCATGACTTAAGCCCGAAGCTTAGATCCGACATGAACCCAAGACCTTATGCACATAAATAATGTAGTCATTAAATTAGTAATTAGTAGTAGTCAATAAAGTCGTGCATTAAAAATGTAGTAATAGCGTCGTAATGTCTAAGTAATCATACGATAGTAATTAGTAATTAATAAAGAGGGAAAAATACAATATAAAAGAAAAGGAAAAGTATACTTAGCTCTCTAGTTTGGTCAATAAATATTTTATTGTATCTTGCTTAAAACCTAACCAATCCTTGTACCATGACAGTTTGACCAAACTAAACAACCCATAGTCATTGAAGATTCCATATTACAACATTAACGTTCAACCTGAATCCATTAATAAAATACATTAATAAAAAAAAAAAAAAAAAAAAAACTTAGTTAACATCACAAATAAATGGCAATAACATAAAAATAGAGGATTAACCAAACCTTAATAGTATACTTATTATGTTGCAGCAAATCCAACAAAAAAACCAACTTTTAAGGCAAGAGAACATAGACTTTCACAACGAACTCGACCAAATTCAGTCACAAGAAGGGACATATACCCATCCAAGGGAGCCTAAGGTTAGCTTGCCTGACAAATTTGATAGGACATGCTCCAAGTTTAGAGGGTTCCTAAACCAAATACGGCTTGTTATCCGCCTACAGCCCAGCCGCTATCCTGATGATAGGACTCAAGTGGGTTTGCTTGGCAGTTTGCTAACAGGCTCAGCACTGGCATGGTTCACCCCACTCCTTGAACAACAATCATCATTGCTGGACGATTTTAATAGTTTCGTTGAAGAGTTCGAAGCTACCTTTGAGAACTTAGAAAAGGTTAGAACAGCAGCTAATAGAATCAGAAAACTCACCCAAAGATCCAAATTAGCCTTAAGCTACACTTCAGAGTTCTGTCAAATCTCCAGTAACCTGAATTGGGGCGAAGCAGCATTAATCGACCAGTTCCGAACAGGACTTTGAAATGATGTAAAAGACCTACTACTCATCATGAAAGACCCTGCATCATTGAAAGACACCATCTCTAAGGCTATATGATGTGATAATAGATTGTTTGAGTGTCGTCGTGAGCGACAAGGTCACATGATTGAACAGGGAGATTTAGTATCCAGTTTCAGTAGGCCCAGTTTGCCCCTGGAGCCAATGCAAATCGACTCAACAAGGACGAAAACACTTCCAGAAGAAGAAAAGCAGAGACGCCGGGCTAACAACCTCTGTTTATACTGCGGCGAACCTGAACACATAGCCAAGAATTGTCCACGGAAAGCTAACGTCAAGTACCGAATCGACGCTGCTAAAACAACCTTAGATGTTTCGAGAAAAGGGGAGCCCCAACTGCAGTAAGGGGGCTGCAGTTGGACAGTACTTATAACTCAGGCCCCAAACAACGAACCCAACATACCCTACTAGACTCCTTTATTATACCTATATCCATACAACTCCCAAACAAATCTGAGTTGTAGGTCAATGCATTAATTGATTCTGGTACCTCAGCTTGCTTTCTTGACTATACGTTAGCACATAAACATGACCTACCTATCAGCAAAAAGAGCACACCACTATCAGTAAAAGTAATAGACAGTCAGGAAATATCTTCGGGGTGGTTACACACGAGACTGAGCCATTGCTGCTGTATTATCAGGACCATTATGAAGAAATTACATTTAATCTGATTCAAACCTCACATCATCAAGCCATCCTAGGGTTACCATGGTTAACTCACCACAATCCCAACATTAATTGGCATGAGCGTACGCTAACATTTCCGGACGCAAGTTGTAACTCACATTTCCAGTACCCATCTGCAGCGCAGTCAACAATGCACAGTAGTACATCTGAGAGAATTTTCTTTGCTTAAATTTTCCATGTAGCCTCTGTAAAAAGGGATCCTGGCACCGGCACACTAGCACTCCCCATAAAATATAGCGACTTTAGTGATGTCTTTGATGAGAAAGAGGCAAATAGGTTACCAAAGCACAGGCTCTATAACTGTGCAATAGACCTAGTACCTGGAAAGCAGCCACTATGGGCGCCTATATATGAGCTGTCAGAATTAGAACTAGGAACATTAAAAAAGTATATAGAAGAAAACCTGGATAAAGGATATATCAGACACTCTAAGTCACCCGTCAGAGCCCCTATATTGTTTGTAAAAAAGAAGAATGGGTTGTTGAGGCTATGTGTTGACTACCGGGGCCTAAACCAAGTCACTATAAAAAATAGGTACCCACTTTTCCTTATCTCAGAGCTACTGTACTGTCTATCTTCGGCCCGAATCTTTACAAAAATAGATTTGAGAAGTGCTTACAATCTAGTTAGAATCAAGCCAGATGACGAATAGAAAACTGCATTTTGTACCTATTACGGCCTTTTCGAATACCTGGTGATGCCCTTCAGGCTCACGAACACCCCAGCAGTCTTTCAACATCTAATTACTGACGTGTTCAGAAATTTTTTAGACAGATTCGTTATTGTGTACTTAGACGACATTCTGATATATTCGGCAAACCCTGAAGAACATACTCTACATGTAAAATTAGTGTTAGAGCGACTCCGCTGTTTTGGTCTCTATGCAAAACTGAAAAAGTGTGAGTTTGATAGAGACTGCGTCGAATTTTTGGGGTATAGTATTACACCTGCAGGGATAGAAATGGATGACAAAAAGGTTAATAATTTACTTTCATGGCCCGCACCCACAACCCTTAGAAAGATACAGCAGTTTCTGGGGTTTGCTAACTACTACTGTCACTTCATAAAAAATTACTCCCAAATGGTTAACCCTCTTACAAACTTGACCCATAAGTCTAATAAGAGTTTCAGGTGGATTACAGAAGTGCAATTAGCTTTCGAGAAGCTAAAAAAGGCTTTCACCTCTGCCCCAATTCTGGTACATGTGGATCCCAAAAAACAATTTTTCTTAGAAACAGACACTTCAGACTATGCTTTGAGTGCCATACTATCCCAACCCCAAGATGACAGTCATCTCCATCCAGTTGCTTATTATTCTCGAAAGTTCTTACCTGCTGAATTAAATTACGATGTCTATGACAAAGAGCTGTTATTCATCGTAACTGCATTTAAACAGTGGCGTCATTACCTGGAAGGGGCCCAACATAAAATCATCACCTATTGCGATCATAAAAACCTCCAATACTTTACTTCTGCTCGACTTCTTAACTGTCGTCAGGCCCACTGATCACTATACTTATCCAACTACGACTTTGAGATTTCATTCCGACTAGGAAAGGATCAAGGCAAAACAAATGTATTGTCTCACGGATCTGATTATAAATCGTCCAAGGATGAACCTATTACCCACTAAACGGTACTGTTGAACCAAGATAAATTTTGCTTAAACACTGTTTCAACAGCTCCATTCGACTATAGCTTCCAGCAACACATTAAATCCCAACTAAAAGCAGACCTCTTGCCCTGGATGTTATAAGCCACCTGAACATCACTGATACAACCCTTGATGGCTCACGATCCGACTATCATAAATTTTCACATAAGAATGGTCTGCTTTATAGGGATGGGCTACTATACATCCCTGGTACAGCAGAGAAGCTTGAGGTATTGCGGGCTAGGCATGACTCCAAACTGGCTGGGCATTTTGAAGTAACTAAAACTGTTGAGTTAATAACCAGAGACTACTGGTGGCCCAAACTTCAATCCTTCGTATGGAAATATATCAGAACCTGTAACATGTGTGCAAGATCAAAAACACCAAGACACTGCCCTCAAGAATTGTTGATGCCTTTGCCAATTTCTTCCTACTAGTGGCAATCTATATCCATAGACTTCATAACCGACTTACCTATATTCTTAGGTTCTGATTCTATTCTGGTAGTGGTGGATGGTTTAACAAAAATGGCCCATTTTATTGCCTGTAACAAAAATATTACCGCAGAACAGACAGCCCGGTTAGTGCTACATAAAGTAGTCCGTCTACACAGCATACCTGAAGAAATTGTATCTGATAGGGGACCACAATTCGCCTCCCAGTTTTGAAAACACCTCTTTGAACTACTGGGAACAAAAATTAATTTATCGTCAGCATACCATCCACAGACCGATGGGCAGAGTGAGAGGGTCAATCAAGTACTGGAGCAATATCTAAGGTGCATAATAAATTATCATCAGGATGATTGGGTCGACCTTCTACCCTTAGCTGAATTCTCGTATAATAATTCTGTGCACTCATCAACAAAAACCATTCCATTCCTTGCTAATTATGGGTTCTGCTCACGTTTTGATGTTCAAGCACCTTCATGACCAACTGTACCATCTGCTGAGGATAAGGCAGCCCAACTACAACTAATTAGAGAAGAACTAATGCAAGAGTTGAGTGCTGTGCAGAAGCGCTACAAACAAAATGCCAATCGTCTATGACAATCACCACCTTTGTTCAAGATTGGCAATCAAGTTTGGTTAATAAGGAAAAACATCCATACACAACGTCCATCAGGGAAATTAGATTATCGAAAGCTAGGCCTCTATAAGATTGCAGCCCAAATTAACCCTGTTGCTTATCGCTTAAACTTGCCTTCCTCTCTCAAAATCCATGATGTATTTCACGTATCCCTTTTGGAACCTTATATAGCAAATAACATCCCTAGTAGGTGTAATGAACCACCCCCTTCAGTAATAATAGATGGTGAAATTGAATACGAAGTCGAGAGAATACTTAATTCAAAAAAAATTCAAAAAAAATTACATTACCTAATTGAATGGAAGAACTGTGACTTGAGCGAATGATCTTGGGAACCCGTCGAAAATGTTGCACACGCCCAAGAGGCAGTCGAAAGTTTCTACCAGCTGTACCTGCACAAACCTGAACTGAAGAAAACTTGGAGGAAGTTGAAAGAAAAGAAAAATAAGCAAAGCATTAAGGGGGGATGATGTTACAGTTACACGGCCAAGCCATCAAGCCCATGACCCAAGCCCAACTCAAGCCCGTGATCCAAGCCTGACTCAAGCCCGTGACCTGAACCCGACTCAAGCCCATGACCCAAGTCCATGACTTACGCCCGAAGCTCAGATCCGACACGAACCCAAGACCTTATGCGCATAAATAATGTAGTCATTAAATTAGTAATTAGTAGTAGTCAATAAAGTCATGCATTAAAAATGTAGTAATAGTATCGTAATGTCTAAGTAATCATACGATAGTAATTAGTAATTAGTAAAGAGAGAAAAATACAATATAAAAGAAAAGGAAAAGTATACTTAGCTCTCTAGTTTGGTCAATAAATATTTTGTTGTATCTTGCTTAAAACCCAACCAATCCTTGTACCATGACACTTAGAGCTTGTGTCAAGGTACTTGAGTCTGTATAGAAACAGTTAGAATTGTACAGGAACACTTGAAGATTATATTAGGAATATTTAGGATTCTTGTACTATGTTATTTAGTACAATAAATTGTACTAGAATACATGAAACTTGTATAGGAGTACTTGGAGTTTGTAAAACAATAGTAATATCATAGATATTACTCAATGTTATATATCTATATCACATTTCTAACAGCCAATTAAAATTTTATTATCTAACTACTATATACTATAATATAACTATGCTAATAACTAATAATAAATATAATATAAAATATAATAATGA